TTCGACACACTACCAAAAGATAGTTCCTCAAAAGACTTTCAATTTGGAATTAATGAAGATTGAATTACCAGGTTACTCAAAGATTGGAACGAAGAATATGATTTTTTTTATTTCTGTAGGAATTTTCTTGATAATTGCTATTTTTTTTGGCTTTAAGATTTGAAATCTTGGTGGTTATCATATTTGAGAGCGTTTTCTTGTTTTTTTTGATTTCTCCAATCTTAATAGTTTTCAAATAAAACTGAAAAATTATTCAATTCTCTTGAAAAAACACGTTCTCTCATTTTTCACTGACTTCTGTTTGCGTGAAGCATCCTATCTAATTTTTATTCTCAAAACGCAGATATTGATTATCAGTTTTTGTAATATTGAAAATAAATAATTTGTAAATATTAAAATTCAAATATGTTAGCTCCAAAGACATCATCTTCAGCACCAAAAATTGAATCTGAAAGAGGAGAAACCTCTCCCCATAAATTATCATTGATTTCACATTGCTTTGATGAAATATCAGAAAGAGGACTTTTCAGCTCCTCACCCTTTTCAAAATCGAAATCAAAATCAAATTCATCTGTGTTTGGTTGTGTTAATTCAAGAATATCAGCATTAGCTTGGCAGAAATAATTTACAGTGGTGGAGAATTGATTGGAAAGGGAAGGATCAAAATATGTCTGCACAGGAATTAGACTACAACATGGATTGACTGGAATCATTGAAAGAAGGTTAGGATTCATAAAGTTAGGTAAGTAAGTTGGCATGACTGGAAGGAAAGGGAATTCAAGTTTAGGTTTGAGATCTGGAATTTCTTGAGCTGGTTTGGAGGTTGTTGGAGCTGGAGCAGGTGCTTGGAGGGATGGTTTGGAAAGATCTGGTTTAGTAGAGTCTGGTTTGTTAGAATCTTGATTCTCATCATTATCTGATTTGATCTTTCTCTTTTTAACCTTTTTAGAAAGGGTATTGTTAGCTCTTCTTTTCTTTGTTTCCATTTCCTCTCTAGATTTTGACCGTATCCAAATATTATCAGATCTACAGACAATCTTCTTGGAATCAGAGTGGATGACTTGAATAAACCCAATCTTTTTTGAAACAGAACTGGCTCTTTCCTTTTTCTTTCCTCTTTTCTGAAGAGGTCTTGGAATATGGAAAGTAACAACTCTTTGATTGCTATCACTATTCATTCCCAGCTTGGATAGTTCTGTAGTCAACTCGGTGACTGTATTCTCGAAGTTTGTTCCTTCAACGAAGGAAACAAGTTGAATATTACACTTTTCCATTAACATGGAACAGAAATAATTAGGTGAATTACTTGAATCGCAAACATTTTGTCCTTGTGAAAGAGAATCTAAATATTTGTCATCAAAATTAACTGATATTCTGATTTGATCGTTCACATAACAAGAGTATTTTGTCTGTGCTGGTGAGAAGAATTGATTTTCTTGAAAACCAGTTGGTAAACATTCAACTTTCACTCTGACATGTTTCAAAATTTCTTGAATAATTTGATCTCTTGTTTCACTTCCCAAAAATATTGATAAGAAACTATTAGAATAATCTTCATTATCAGGACAATTATTGAAAGTTTGCAAGCTCTTTGAAAACTCTTCAACTTGGAAATTCATCATGATTTGATTATCATTCATTTTGTTGTGTGTTGGAAGAAGGTTTTAATAAATTATTGTTTGGAACAAGCCTAGAACTTGTAGAAGGTTGTGTAGCACTGTAAAAAAAAAATGATTGAGAAGAGAGAATTTGATTTCGCTGCGAGCGCAAACGTTTGTGTGTACGTAACGATGAGGAAAGAGAGGCTTTGATGTTGTTTTCTTTTTTTCTACTATTAAATGGATTATCGTCATTTGCCGCTCAACGTTTCATTGCACTTGATTCTTTTCGTGTTGTTCTTCGATTTTTCGTAGGGCGCTATTTTTGGACGCGAGTTCTGCAGGTTCAACGCTAGAGAAGAAGGGAAAGACACAGTAAAGGGTTTTGTTTCTTGGCGCAAATTTGATATTCCTTGTTCATTGAGGAAAATCAAAGAGATTGATATTGATGAACCTTGAATGGATTGAAGTTCAAGTTAGTAAGATGATTGATTTGTAGTGTTGAACGCTCCAAAATTTACCGTTACATTTTTATATTTTAAACCAACCAGAAATAATTTTTTTCTTAATTATTAAGAAAAAAAATAGCCTACACATCTACTCGGCACCATGTTGAAGAAAATATTGTTATGCAAACAGCCTGGCGATTTTGTTGTATTTTAGACAATCCGAAGGAATCCTTTCATCATCTTTTAAACATCATATTATCAGTAGCAAATTACTCCTGTTGGGCATTAACTATGATCTTGTTCTCCTCAATTTGGTAGTATTGTTAATCTAGTAGCCTTTTGAAACAACATCTAAACAGTTCTTACATTCTTCATCTGATAACCTAGCAATATCATTAAATTTTATGGGAGATCTCTTTTCAACTTTCAAAGTTCATGGAAATAATCTGACCAGATCTGTCATTCATTAATAGATCAAGTTTATGAATAACCAGATCTGTCATTCATTAATAGATCTTGTTAGAGAAGAAAAAAATGTTTAAACAAGTAATTTGTGTGATGCTAGTTCTCACACTGGCTACTAGTGTTACCCATGCATGTAATCCACCAAAGGTTGGCAATTGCAACATCTTTCCACCAGATGACGAATGGAATCGTGAGATTTCCAATGACCCAGTCGACTATATGAGTTCATGTTACATTGCCAAATATTCAGGTAATTTGAAGGCAGATTTCAGTGGTCCATATTTTGATGGAACACAAACAGTTAGTGCAGGTATTCCTTGGAATATTGTTAAGGGCAATTCTGTTGCTAAGGTTCCAATTAAATTCTCTGCTGATGGTGCTCCAGACGAATCAGATTTCACATCAGCACCAATTCCATTGAATAGTAAGGTTGAAGGCCCAACAGATTCGTAAGTAGTATATCTATTTATTGAAATGTTAAATGAATTTCAATATATAGACATGTTATTGTAGTTGATACAGATAATTGTATTCTCTATGAAATGTTTGCCTCTGTTGCAGGAAGTGATTCTTGGACATGTGGATCCAATGCTAAATTTGATTTAAATATGAGAAATGCCAGTATGTTCCGTTATCCAAATGAATTGTCAATCACTTCAGCTGATGCAGCTGGATTGCCAATTTTCCCTGGTTTGGTGAGATATTCTGAAGTTGCTGCTGGTAATATCACTCATGCAGTTCGTTTCACACTCCCAACTGCTCAGAGAGCTTATATTCCACCTGCCAAACATTATGGTTCAACCAAAGATGCATCCTATCTTCCTTATGGAGCTAGATTCAGATTGAAAGCTTCTTTTGATTTATCAACTTACACTGGTCAATCATTGATCATTTTGAAAGCATTGAAAAAGTATGGAATGATTTTTGCTGATCAAGGATCCAGTTATTTCATTACTGGAGAACCAAATGATAAATGGGACAGTGATGATTTGAATCAATTGAAGAAAGTTCCAGGCACTGCATTTGAAATGGTTCGAAGAGCTGGAAAGATTATGAGGGATTGGACAACTGCCACTGATTCATGCAATGGTCAATCCACTCAATTAATTTATACTCCTAACTATGTCTGTAATAACAACAACAATGGAGGAAACACCCCAACCACCAGTACTATTAATAATAAGAATACTACCACTGCCACAAGTGCTAGAGCTAACGGTAATGAATCTCTCCACAGTATCATTTCCTTATTGGTTGTTACTTGTGCTACAGTGTTGGTGATGGCCTTCATGTAAAGAGCTGAGTGGCATATTGTTATAGATTGACTTTTATAAAATATCCTTTCTTGGAGTTGAAGAACCTTCTCTTGCATAACTATCTTTCATGAATAATTCAAAGGAAAAGTTAAAGTTTTGGATGTATTCTCGTTTAAGAATTTGTTGGATTTGAAAAACTTTTTGAAAGAGTAAGGGTGGATAACATTTGTATGAGAGTGGTTCAATAATGGTTGAATAGAGGAATGATACTTTCTTCCAATGAATGAGTTGATTTCCCTGCTCGTCCTGAATGACATTCTCGAACGCTTCATCCACAGATCGAATATCCTTGAAATGTTCCATAAACACTGGAATGAGGATTGCATTATTTCTTGCGAGCTGTATTGTAATTTTCCTATAATCGTGTTCCATATCATAGCACAGCTTTTCATATTGTTGAATCTTTTTCCTATCAATTTCTTTCCAAGTGTGCTCCAATCTCTTCACAGATGAATGCTGTAGAGCTTGCAACACATAATCCACTCCAAAAAAGTTGTTCAAATTGAATAATTCCAAGCTCAAATCAATAACCTTACAAAGAAGTTCTTTTCTCTCCTTGATATTTACTTGACTGAGAATTGAAAACACGAGCATGGAGATTGTCAAACTGCCAATCATTTTCATTTCTATAATAGCTTTACAAGCACTTCTTCCACTATGATTGTTATCATGTCTGATCCATTCAAAATATTCATTGGGATCAATTTCTTTAAAGTAATCATAGTCACGGAGGGATAATTGCCTTGCAATTTCAATCTTATCTAATTCATACCAACTAAAATTGTCGTTGAATATGCTCATAGGAATTATTGGTTTTGGAGCAGCAAATTTCCTGTGATCGTTCATCAAGTCAACTGGTGTTTCCAATCTCTTGTCTCTAAGCTCTGAGTGATATTCTTCATTTTCATTTTGAACTTGTTCCAATCTGAAAGAGTCTATTATTTCCACAAAAATCCTATTGATTTCAAATTCCGTTTCGCTATCTTTTTGGTATTGTTGAGCAAGATCAATAAGTGAGATGCAAGAATCTGTCAGTGATTTGAATCCTTTCAATTCAAAACATTCTTTTGTTATATGATGAAGGAAATCAAACATTGCTGAATTCCAATCATCAATTCTGAATTTAATCCACTATTTAAAGATAAAATTGATGGTGATGTTTTGAATTTTTAAATGCCTTACCTTAATTATAAACTCCAGAATTGAAAATATCTTGTACTCATATAATGAATTGCAATATCTCCAGTATGTATATTTCTCATTGATTTGGAATCCATAATCATTTTTCCAAATATCTTCGCATTCTGCATCAATATCCTCATACATGATTGGAAATTCTAAAAATTGGAGTGGAATATTCGAAAGCGTCTCAAAGCACTTCTTTAACAATACTTGTGGGGTTGTAAAGATTGGATAGGTGAAAAGGATTGTCTCTATAAACCTTTCCTTCCTATTTTGCACGGATTGAGGAAATAGAGGTAGAAAATGAACCATTGGAGAGGCCAGTATGAGAAATAATTGATTGAGTGACATGGAGCTAATGGTATTCAAATATTGTGGATGGTACGAATTAATCCATGACAATTCCGTATCATTATCAAATTTTGGAATTGTTGAACTTGTTTCCAACTGGAACAAATCCTGATGAATGCAAAAAGCAGATAAATTAGTTTCACTTCCATCAAAATCCTCATACATGATTGGATCCATTCTTATTTTACTCACACCTGAACTGTAAAATAATTTCTGAATGGGTGTGAGTGCTGTTTTTGATACCGTGATGGCAACTCTCCTTTTTCTTAAAGTGGAAGAATCCTCATTTCCACTACTTTCTTCCCAGCCCAGTGACTTTCCTTCAATCATATTTCGAATCATTTGTACAAGCTCTTTTGATGTTGGTCGTTTCTTCGGATCTACCTCCAACATTCCCACTATCAACTTG